CGCATGTCCAAACAAAACTTCAATTTCATCTCATGATTCCATATCATGATACCATATCGCATGACCAAACGGGCCCTAAGTCTTCAACTATATTGACTATATAAAAAAGAGTATTTATATGTTGAAGGATGGTGTTCTTTTTGTGGACCTTTGGACTCTTCAACTAATCTGGAGTTATCTTGAGTTGTACGACGTTGTTGGGCTGTTGTATCCCGGAGAGGACAATTCAAGAGTGATACTGTTGTATTGGTGTAGATTATACCACAATGGGCTTGAATCCCCTTAATCAGAGCGGCATATCCGCATCTCAGCCTAAATGATTTGCTTTTTCATTTTATTTTAAACTGTAGTTTATTATATTTGTGGTATATATTACACCAACAACCTTTTTAAACCAAATTGAATTTCTTTTGGTGTCTTTTTCGAAAAACAATTCATTTCTCATTCAAACCTTTTAAAACCAAATTGCACCCTTTCTTCTCTTAATATCTTCTCGAAAAAATCTTCATTTTTCATTCAGATCTTTTAAAACCCAATACTTTGTACATTAGTTTCATTAGCTTCTAGAAAAAAATTATGGGGATGGAAGATATAGGAGCTTATGCTCTTTATGTCAGTAGTTAATGGGAGACCCTTCATGTAACCTATTTATCCAGTCTCCATTTTCATTTCTGAAGATACCTCCTATACCAAAACTTTTCTTGTTGGCGAAGGGTGAAAAGATTTCCACCTTTTTCTATATCTATATCTATGCAACTAGCTAGTTCTTTCATGCTTACAAATCCATTCATCTTACTTACTCAAAAACTTTGAATATTCAACTCGAAATCTTCCTTCTAGCTTTGGGCAACTCTAATACAAATAGAAATAATGTATATACAAGGCTAGTCTTTTCTCTCTAGGCTGAACTAGTAGTATATATATAACAACAATAACATATCTAGTGAAATTTCATAAAGTAGGGTTTGGGGAGGGTAGAGTGTATGTAGACCTTATCACTACCTCGTGGAGGTAGAAAGATTGTCTCCAATGATTCTCGACTCAAGTGTATCAAACCCAAGTAAAGAAAGAAGAAACAATGGAGAAAACATATATGTCAATAAGAAAAGAAAAACAATAATAACAAAAAAAAATAGAGTGATTACCGAAATATAATAAACAACATATGACAAGAACTATAAGGGTATGAATAGTCCTACGACAGACTCTAAGCCTTCTCAAGACAAGACAGCACTCTATTCCTACTAACCTTCTACCCTAATATGCGACCTTTACTCCTTCCTATCTAAAGTCATGTACGTCGTCGGTAATATAAAGTTGTGCTATGCCCTGTTTAATCAGTTCTCCCCAATACTTTTTCGTCCTACCCCTCCGTGGCTCTACAACCACCCTCTTGCACTTCCTCTGCACATATCCAAACCATCTCAGTCTCGCTTCCCTCATCTTGTCCGCCACAAAGACTATTGAAGTAGTAATATCCAGCCAAAATAAATGGAATGCAAATATAACAATATAACTTGCCACTGTTCTAGTTTACCCTCTGCAAATTAAATAATGAAACTTCCACACAGGAAGTTCTTTCGAATAATAATAGTACCAAACAAGCTCTTTGATTCAACCCAAGCTTCAGGATATTCAAAGAAAAATTAATTAGTTAAATAGCTATTATCTTCGCACCACCATTTTTGATTTTTGTTATTGAATTATTAATTACTTCATTTGTTCTTATTTATATGATGTTGTTTGACTCGACACAAAGTTTAAGAAAGAAAAAAAGATTTGATATACCTTTGGTCTAAAACAAGTCATAAATGTTTGTGTGATTATAAATCATCTCATTATGAATATTTAAATTATGCATAATACATAAACATGACCCTTAACTTGGCTTCAGCTAGTAACTATGCCCTCCAACTTTGGGCGTGCACAAGTAGACACTTAAACTTGTATAAAATTGAACAAGTAGCTAGACATATGTATCCTACGTGACATAATGACAAAATTTTCATGTAGGGTACCATGTAGGACAAATGTGTCTATTTGTTCAATTTTATACAAGTTTAAGTGCCTACTTGTACACATCCAAAATTAAAGGTCACAGTTGTCAGCTGAAACAAAGTTAAAGGTCATGTTTATATATTATGCGTTTAAATTAAATTGTTACTAAATGTAGAAAAAAGTCTATCACATAAATTGGATGGAGGGAGTAATTACTTTGGCAAGACTAGGGAGTCAGGGACCAAACTAGCACTAGCAGTTCCTTATAGTAAGAAGTAAACTCAGCAAAAGCTTTCGGCCAAAGGAAGAGTTAATATTTCAGATGGTCACTTAACTTTGAATAGTTCACTTAGAAAGTCACTCAATTTTGAGTTGTTCATTTAGAAAGTCACTGAACTTTGTTTTATAACTCAAAAGTCACTTAACTATTGGTGTTTCACTTAGAAAGTCATCCAACTATTGATATTTCACTTAGAAAGCCACTCAATCAATTTAAATCATTTTTCATTAACTTTTATTTTAAACTATTTTTTAAAGAAATAATAAGATATCTATTTTAATTATCTTATTGATCCGCTCCAATTATTTAATTATAATTTTCTGAAAAAACGTACAACAATTGACCCAAAAAAACCTTTTCGTTCTAGTAATTGTATGACTAGTATTACATATGTTACAAAATTATATAAAAAAAAGAGGTTGAAATTGATAAAGAAGTAATTAAAACTAAATGCACAGTAGCAATGTTTTACTATTTTTTATTTTTTTTAAATAAACTATATTTCAACAAAATCCAATAAAATAATTTAAATAAGCATCTTATTATCATTTTTAAAAAATAGTTTAATTATTTTTTGTATTTTTACAAGATTTAATAAAAATATTGTTTAAATTGATTGAGTGACTTTCTAAGTGAAATATCAATAGTTGGGTGATTTTCTAAGAGAAAATCAATAGTTGAGTGACTTTTGAGTTATAAAACAAAGTTGAGTGACTTTTTAAGTGAACAACTCAAAGTTGTGTGACTTTCTGAGTGAACTATTCAAAACTGAGTGACCATATGAGATATTAACTCGCCAAAGGAAGTACAAAAGCCTAAATATATATGTAAAGAAATGAATATTGTTCCTAACTCAGCCTCGCCAAAAGCTAGTTTATGAACGGAGCATTACCGAAATTCATATAAGGAGTCTAAATTCATTACATTCCACTGATGTGGGACTTTAACAAAATATTAGCCACAAATAAAATAATTTAGAAATGGAGCATAAGATTATATATTACACCATTTTGAAATTTTTAAGATTCTTGACACTCTGACATTATCCGGAGTTTGAATTCTATAAGTTTGAAATTTGTATGTTTGTGCATAATACATAAACATATCCTTTAACTTGATCTCAGCTAACAATTATTCCCTTCGACTTTGCATTTGCATAAGTAGATGCTTAAACTTGTATAAAGCTGAATAAATAGACACATACGTTCGATGTGGGGTCCTATATGAAAATTTTGCATCCTACGTGGCATCGTCCTACATGTATTATGCCACACACAGGACGCTTGTGCACACTCAAAGTTGGAGGGCATAGATGCCAGATGAAGCCAAGTTAAAAGACCCATTTATGTATTATGCTGATATTTTACTGGATTCTAGGACTCTCGTTGCCTGGAGCTCCAATTGTATAAGTTCGATCTCTAAGACACAATTTTGGAGTTTCACTTGTAAAAGTTGAAAAACTTTTATATATATAGACTATATTATTAGATTAGTACTAGCTACTGATCCTGACTTAGTGAGTCCTTTCTTTCATGATGAACGGTTGATATTGGCCCTACATTTTATCTTTTTGGGTCGTGGAGAAAAGAGGTTTGGATGTGGGAAGAAGAGTGTACTACGAAAGAAGCAAGGAGACCAATCTCTTTCAAATATATAACTTGAATTCTAAGAATGTAGTTGGACTCTCGTGTCAATCGGAATGAATCATTTCTTTTCATTTCTAGTATTTTCAATCCATGCCGAAATAGGAAAAGTAACAAGCACCACTAGGCCTGATCGTCGGTCAATGCTAGTAGGGTCTAATAATCATCAATCCTTACTTAAATAGGAAGGTGATAGTTTCAATCTAACTGTATGATCCAGAACAAGCTTTTATTGATCCAAGGGCTTTTTGTTTTTATTACAAGAAGTCCACTTGCAACACTTGCTTGAAGTTCGAAAATAGATCTAATGAACGTTTGGGCAGCCATTTCTGATAGAAATTGTTTTAGAGATCAATGATTTCGGGTTTGGTAATGCTTATTGTTATAACTAAAAGGTAAATATGCTAAGATAGTGCATAGTACTCAAGCTTGGTTTATTTTATCGAGAATGGTCAAAATTGTGCCTAAACTATTCCGTATGTTTTACTTTTACGCTTTTCAAAAGGCATAGCATACAAATATGATCTTTAACTTGACTTCAATGGATAACTATATATGTTTTTCGACTTTGGGTGTGCACAAATAGACACTTAAATTTGTATAGTTGTATATAGTAGAACAAGTAAATACATGCATCAACTGATTGGTATTATTTCAATTAGGATGCTTGTACAACTTTATACAAGTTTGAGCATTTATTTATAGACGTAAAATTGCAAAACATAGATGTCAGTTGAAGCAAAGTTAAATGACACATTTATACATTATATTATGCCTTTCCGAAAAGTGAAATGCTTCTTTAATGTCATTATCTTCTTGCCAAACCAACTAGTTTCTTCTATCTATTCGTCCCTCAATACCCAACCTATTATTTTCTAGCCTAAAATTACCCCTCTTCATAACAGAAAAATCTCTGAATCTCTCTACATAATTTTGTGACAACATATATATAATTGGTTCATTTGGAACTCTATACAGCCCTACCAAATAGACTGATGCTGAATTTTCAATACCTTTTGTGTTTTTTCTTGGTATAAGTAGTCACACCTTTCAATGTTGTTTGGAAAAAAAAAAATAACAAATCAAAACAAAATTACTTTACTATAACAATGAGGATGTGGTGGTTCATAACAAGTTTAGTCATTTCTGCTTTCTTTTGTAATTCCCCTGCTTATGCTTATGATAACAACCCTCTACAGGACATATGTGTTGCTGTTAATGACTCTAAGGCTGCAGGTAATTAATCATCCTTCTATAATACTTATTTGTTTCAGAATGAGGCGTAGTTTTTGTATATGTGTTGTATAATCTGAATAATATGCCTAACTTTATTTTGTTTCCCTTGCGCAGTTTTCGTGAATGGAAAGATTTGCAAAGACCCAAAGTTTGCAACAGCAAATGATTTCTTTGCTTCAGGTCTTAATGTTAGTGGCACTACAGCGCCCGGGGCTGCTGGTGCTGCAAAGTTTTTGACTGTCGACAAAATTCCTGGACTTAACACTCTTGGTATTTCTATTGGTCGTCTTGACTTGGAACCTCAAGGTCTTGCACCACTTCACACGCACCCTCGAGCTACTGAGCTGATAACTGTCCTGGATGGTACTCTGTATGTAGGATTTCTTGTTCCTGATCCTGTAAACTTCTTTAAGAGTCGTCTCTTCTCCAAAATCTTGTATCCTGGCGATGTGTTTGTGTTCCCAATAGGTCTTATTCACTTCCAGTATAATGTCGGACACAAAAAAGCTACTTATCTTGCTGCTTTCAACAGTCAAAATCCTGGATTTGTCTTTATTCCTAATTCAATCTTTGGTTCAAATCCACCCATTCCAGACGACGTTCTTACCCAAGGCTTCCAACTTAGTAAGACACAGATTGCACAACTTCGAAGGAAATTCTCTTAGGCTATATTATCTGTCTTTAAAAATGTGATTCTGTGTTTTTCTGAAAGTTGTTTGCAGCACGTTAGGTGCTCACTAACGTCTTATGAAAGCGTTGGAATAATACTTTAGTCCGAATAAAATAAAGTGACAATGTATGTAACTATAATGTTTCTTTGCAATATATACTAATGAATAAGCACCTTGGGTAATATGAGAGTGGAATTGACATACTTAATAGCTATATATAATTTCTGAAATAAATCAACAACTTGATTAATCAAGTGATCGATGCGCATGTGTATTAATCTATAGAATATATAAGACATTTGTTTCAGAAGCAATTCATCCGAAACCAGTAACATTTATCGGTTCATTCACCTTACCACAATTCAATTAGTATAGAAAAAACAATTTTAAAACTGATCACCGGTCAACGTTAGTAGGGCTAATAATCATTCTATACGTAAATTGGAAGGTGACAGTCTCAATCTAGCTAGCGGCATGGTCCAGAACAAGCCTTTATTGATTCAAGGAATTTTTGTTTTTATTTATTACAAGAATCGCTTCTTTGTCCACTCGCAACACTGACTTGAAGTTGAAAATTAGATTTTATTTTGTTTTAAGGCCCCATTATATATCTATTAGGAAAAAGGTCCAGGATTGCCCTCGTCGTTTGCAAAAAGGTTTGATTTTGCCATTTGTTATAGTTTAGGTCAATTGTGCCCCC